GCGCGGAGGCCGCAGGTGAGGCGGCAGCGCGGGGCCGCCGCAGGGCAGCGCTGCTCCGTGTCGCGAGGCGAACGAAAAAGGAAATCGGTTCTTTTTCTAGCCTTTCTCTTTTTGTTAATCGCAGTTAGGATGGACCTTTCCCCCGAAGGATCRTTTGGGGGTCATGTTGGAATATGGGGAATTCAGAAGGGCCGAGCATCCCATCCCATCCACAGCCGGAGGGAGCTGTGGGCCCTACAGCTCCTGCTTTCCACAGTGTCCGGGCAGATTCCCGCGTTTCATTGCGGGGAACTGCAGGAAAACTGCCCGAGTTGGTGAATATTGCTCATGATTTCGGAAGGAGGTTGCAGGTTTACAAAGAGTAGCAGATCCCCAGTTGTTCCTTGCATTTTGTGCTTTAAAAAGAAGTCATGAGGCTCAGGAAGAAGGGACCAAAATCCCACTTCTGTTGCAAAACTGGGTCTTTTGGCCATAACATAATGGACATTATATTGGATGCAGGAAAACTTAGAAAACCCTGGCCTGCAGCCTGGAGCTGAAACTCRGCTTTATGAAATACATTAAGCAGTAACTATGGGAAATGACTCAAATGTGATGCCAAGAGTTTCATTTATTTTTTTTTTAACACTGACAGAGCTCCCTCCTTCGGAATTGCCSCATACCGTGGGTGCTGATGATCTGCAGAAACTTCTTCACCTGCTGCAGTCCACAGACGACCCATTAATTCAAGAGCAGGTTTTAATCACGCTCRGCAACAGTGCTGCCTTCTCTGTAAATCACGTAAGTAATGATTTTATAGCAAAAAAATAGAGCTTTGGCAGCAGTTTGGAAAATGAGAGGTGCTGTTCTTCATAACAGTAACACAGGACAGAGGGCACTGACTGTCTTGTGTTTTAACATCCTTTTTATATCTATGCCATAGCTTTCTATGTCCAAATAGTCGTTACTCCAAAAAATATAACCTGTCTGCTTTACAAGACTTTGTTTGTATAGATTAAACGTGTACAACTTAATGTTTGCACAGAACACTWTACTGTAAACATGCTATCAATATGTTTATGACTTTCATTGCTTCATAATGTCAGTTATAGGGTTGAATTTGAAAAAGAGTTAAATAGTTGAAGCTTTCAGGATTTTTTTTTGCCATCGTCAAATAATGGGATAGAATTTAGCTATAAAGCAGAACTGTTCTTAATTTCAGTGCAAGTAATATATGCAAAACCAAAGGGTAGTTTAGYGATTGCACATCATCATAGAATTAACAGGCTTTATCAAATCCTGTAATTTGCCACAAGCATAACGTAACAGATACCATTGGACCTCTTCTAGGACSTGTCATATTTTGTCATCTCTTCAAAATTTGGTAATTTTATGGGCAACTCTTCAGAAGGATATATGCTATCGGTGTCTTTGTTAAATGGTGTTTCTCAAACGTGGTTTGATATTTAAGCTGATGTTAAAATTAAAAAAAAATAGTATATATATTTTTGTATGAAACAATAAGAAAAAACAACTGCCAACACTTTCACTTTAAATAGACATAGTCTGTTTCAGAAATCTTCATTCAGATGTTCCACTTGTGTTGAAATGGAAACTTAAATGCTRAAGGCATTCTTCAAATAAATTTAAAAATCATAGTAATCCTATTGAATATCTTATTATATTTCAGGATATAATTCGGAATTTGGATGGCCTTTCTATTATTGGAAGGATGCTCTCGGATTGCATTCCCAGGGTCAAAGAAAAAGCACTAAATGCTCTTAATAATTTGAGTATGAACATTAAAAATCAGAAAGAGATACAGGTAAGTTTCCTAGAAGGGTGAGAATCAAAGGAATTAATAATAATTTTTAAAAAGTGTAGTTGTTAACTACAAGGAAAAATGACAAAATGTTTTGAGGTTAGAAATACTTGAAATACTTGAATCAGCAAATCTAGATCATCTGTGCATTCCAAAGCCCAAAGGAATAGCATTAAAAAGCCCTGCATCACTACTAGTTACTTTTTTAAAAAACAAACTTTGGAAGCTACAGTCTATGTTTAGCTTTTGCCTAGTGCTACTAAACAGAGATTGTGCTGCTAAGGTTTGACAGTAAGAGAATGTGAAGCAAGACATACTCCCRAAGATGTCAAGGACATCAGCAAAGGTTGTTACTAAGGTGACTGGAAGGCTGAACTGAGCACGACTCCSTTAGGGAAAAATCTTCTTACTCAGGCCTTGAACATGTTATATACTGTCACCTAGAAGAAAATTGGGTAAATCCTGCTTTCTGGTTGTCAATTGCTGTCATTGTTTCTGTGAATAAGCCAGATGGTTGGAAGAAAGGATTTAATTCTAAGATTTATTCTTAACATGTAGGAAGAGATCTAGTGACTGTAAGTGATTTTTGACAAAGTTCTTATAGCAAATGTGCTATGTCTGGAATAGAGTCAAAGCATTTGGGGGTTCCGGAGCAAGTTATGCTCCAGGAAAGCTAGTGAGCAGCACTCTAATGTGTGTCCCTATTATGCCAGCAGAGTATYTGTCTATTACAAAAGAAATGCTTGTTTCTGACTGCCTTGATCAGGCAGTCATGACTTCAACCACCAGGATGCACCAGATTATTAGGTTACTGCGGCTAARATAGTTCATACTATTTGTGAATGCTATTTGTGAAACTTGCCTCCCAAAATGTCTTTCCTTCTGTCTTTTTCCCCCAGGTTTATATYATGCAAGTTTGTAAGGACATTGAGTCAGCTTCCCTGAACTCTGATCTGCAGCTAGCTGGACTCAGACTGCTGACRAATATGTCTGTCACCAGCGACTACCACCATATGATGATAAATTCAATTCCGTGCTTCCTTCACCTGCTTTCAGAAGGAAACGAAAGGACACARGTATTGTGACAAACCATTTAGCAAGTTGCTTTGCTTGCCTCCTTTACATTATTTTTCTAAAATGGTTTGCATCATGTTTAGAAAGTATTTAAATRTTCATTAATAGCAGAGAGTGCGCAAATCCTTAAAATAGGGATATATATTGCTTTTTTTGTGTAAATTCAGGAGTACTTTTTTTTCTAAAATTTCATCAGGATCCCTCTATGAGTGTAGCAAAAAAATTAGACTCATTGAATTTTAAGAAATGTGTCAGTTTTGTTTGTTTTTAGTCCTGTTCCCTGTCTACATATTTTTCAATTGGCACCTTCCTTCTACATCTTACCTTTTGCTCTTAAAATATTAAGAAAGTATTAGTACTATACTATATTTACAATGTGTATGAACCTAGATTACACACTTAATTTGTTCTGTAAACGCATGAAAGCCAAAATCATGAGAAAAGTCAAATTCTTCCATCTTTAACAAAAGCAGATTCAGTTTTCCATGAGCCTTTCCTATGAAGTGTACAAGAAAAGATAATGGAGCACTAACTTCTCCTCTCAAGTGTTTTGATTTTGGAGTTGGTAGTGACTTATGTTTCTCATTTCAGATTCAAGCTCTGAAAGTACTTGTGAATCTCTCTGCAAACTCAGCCATGACAAGACATATTCTCCAAGCTCAAGTAAGGGTATTTATATTATATATATATTATAATTTATATTATATATAAATACTTTAAATTGCCTTTCTGTGTGCCTTTATATTGCCTTTCCTTATGTCTTCATGCAGAACCTTATCTCACATTAGCTACCGCAGGTTTTGCTAACAGGCCGTTTTATTTCAATTTTTGCCACATCAAAACAGAAGAAAGGTACTGGGTACTGCTGCTGCCCTCCCACACGAAGGTTCTTAAAATAAATCAGGGACTGATTTAAAACCAAAATTAAATTTTTGAGCCATCTCCAAAGGGCTGAACTGATCTGTATGCTACCCACTTTCTATTATTTAAAGTATAGAACAGGATTGTAATAGGTAAATGTTCAGTTCTCTACTGTGTCCGGGGTGTATCCTTTTCTGGTCTACCAGACACCCAAACCTATTAATGCACAAATTCTCCAATCACCATAGAGGGGAGGGAAAAACATGTTATTTAGAAAGAAAGCAGACTGTTTTCCACATGGGAATTATCCAGACAGTCAGGTTTTGGAGATTGAAAGTATAAAGCACTTAACAGTCTGTAATGCTTGAGCTAGTCTTTTCTGCACTGAGGAACTGTGCGGGCAGTGCAAGCTTCTGGCCTGCTTGCTCAACATACGGAGTTCTGGTATTTATGAGGTTTCTGTTTTAGGTGCAGATTTGTTTCCATTTTTAAAGGTGAGGAGAGTTATTAACTAAAATGTAGTCAATGATTAAATGTGGACTATTTACCGACTGTCCCAGGCCCCGTCACTGCTGCTACTTTTTGACAACTGCACGAACAGAGACGTTCTGCTCAGAGCCCTCACGTTTGCAGCAAATTTGAAGAAGACTGAGAGCACTGAGGAAGGCACCGAGCTTCAGAGCCAGGCCAGCCAAGATTCAGTTTTCTCTACCCTCTGTGGGGCTTCTGCTCCCTTCGCTCAGAAACTGGCATCTTTATTGCATCACCCTGATACAGAAGTGAAGGAGCAGGTTGCCAGAATATTAACACAATAGTCATTAAAAACCAGTGATCTGATTAAATATTTAATCTTGAGTGCTTTCATACAAGAAAATAAAACTTTTTTTGGAATACTATCCTATTATTAGGTGAAAAACAGCTATTGTGAGAGAGAATGCAATATATGTAATAGAGAGCATAGTAAGAGAATTCTGAGCAAGATAACACAGCAGCTTACTTAGCACTGACAAACCACTATGGAGCTGGTACCCACTGACAAACGGGGAGAGACGGTTTAAAACACAAATCTACACGTGTAGTGTATTTTCAGATGGACTAAAAAGTCAATCCAAATACTSTCTCAATGTTACAAAGAATTTCTATTACTTTATATACTTGCAGCTTTTGAATAAATATATTTATGGAAGGAATTTGGTATTTACATTTTATTAATCAGCTACCTACTGATTCTGTGGGCAGAAAAATCTTAGAAAAATCTTAAATAAAAACAATGTCATGCTATTGCTGACTTCCTGCAAAATATTTCCAGTGAAAATTGCATCTTGAAATTATCTAGCCTATGTTTAACTGCACAGAATATACTCTAAAATTTAAGATAGCTCCATTTAGCAAACCACAGTTGCAGTTAACCACAACACATGCAAAGTTTCCGTATTTGAGCAAAATTCAAATGGATTTTAACTCCTTGCAGAGATACTTGTGAAAGAAAAAATACATTTTTAAATATAGTTTTTAATGTACCTGTTGTGCAGCAAAGATTACCTACCATGAGAGTCTCTTCTAGGTGTCTTTCATTTTCTCCAACCTAAAAAATCTTGTTTTCTAACATCCTACATGATCTTTTTAATATTTAAAGTTGATGAGCTACCAAAGGGAAGGGTAGGAAAACAGAACCATTGTCCTCTACCTAAAATAGACTGTGGTAATGCTAAAAGCATCTTTCTAGTCTAAAAAAAAGCTAAATTTAAAATCTTCCTCTACAGAACGCTACTATTGACATATTTAGAAATAACACTAGACTCTGCAGTTAGTCTTCACTTACGTGTCTTTAACCTTYCTTATCCTCTACTCCCTACCTGAGAGCTGATCTTTTCAGTGCCGACCAAATGGAACAGAGACCATTCTAGGTAAAAATGTTGTGAATTAATACATCTCAAACAAAACATGTCCCCATAATATTTAGGCTCTGATCTTACAACTCTACTTATCTGTTATGTTGCTATTTAATCAATTATTTTCCTAGTTAGGTTTTTTTTTCATCTATTGTTATAGACTATAAATGTAAAATATAATGCACAACAAAAGCAAGAAATACAAAGCCAGCAGACCATAAAGCATGAACAAAAAAGATCTTAAAATTATTTATTTACAAATGAATTATGAAGGAGAATGAGAACTATTTTTGGCAGCAACAGGCTTTAATTTTTGTAATTAGTTTGGCAATTTGATACTGATACATTTAGCTCAGTCTCACTGAACAATTTTTTAATCTCTCATTCAACTCAAATTACGGGGATGCTATAAAAAATATCACAGCCCTCTGCTTAAGAGTTTTCACTTAAACAACAAAAAACAACTGAATAATAGGCTGAGTCAACACAGATACAAGTGCCATTAGGGAGGGGGTTTTCCATTTCCATGTACTGCATTTGACAAGAAAATTACTTTAGACACATTCAGGCCTAACTTAAAAATACTGACAAAATAGCAAAAGAATGCAGATACTCTGGCCAGCAGTAAGTTCTATGCATTAATGATGCAATATGAAGTAATCTCTCTCTAAAAGGCACATTTCTTTAGGTCATTTTAAAATTCAGCTTTGTGGTTCTCAATAAATGAAAATGGAGAAGCAGTCAGTAAAATCATTATTTTACTGTACTTGTGCTTTTTTGGAAGACTTTTCCCCACAAAACATACACGGAAGCTGTCGAGGTACAGGGCATAACCTTAAGATTAACGACCAACAAGTGGGAGATGACATTTTAATGATGATTAATTCAAGTCAGCCATTAATTCTAAGAACATGTCCTGTTCAGAGGTTATTATTTCTGTTACAGATGAGCTGGAAATAGTGTTTAAAAGAACAGTATCAGTGATGTTCATGAGAGTTAAAAGAGTTATTCCTAGACAAGACCTTATGCATTAACCAGTGTTTAGATCACCTCATAATTTATAAACAATTTAAGTAGGAAAATTTATCATGAAATCACTATGCAACTTTTAGTTATGAAACCAACAAACCCAAGATCTAAAAATCCAATCCATTCAAAAGACTACTTTGTAAGTACATTAAATTAACATTTGTAATATCAGTTCCTAGTTCAAATCAAAGGAAGCTTGTAAGGAATTGCTAGTGTTTCATTATTCAAACCCATCATCATTTGTGCTCAAGTCTCGTGATTCTCCGTGGTTTARGACAAAGAAGTCTTCTTTTTTCAAGCCATATCTTTCCAGAGCTTCATTCAGTTTAACTGGAGGATCCAAGTAATACTGGAAAAATAAGAATGATATGAGGAAAAAGATACAACCGCGGCATTTGGAAAACCAAACTAACAAAAAAACTCTTTATGATCTGGTCCATATTTTAAATATATTTATCAAAAAGGAGAATATATATTTGTCAAAGTAAATAGAAAGTGTCAAAGTGAAAAGAAATGAAAGTGTATCAAAAAAAAAAAAAAAAAAAAAAGAAGACTTCTTCAATATATTTAATTTGATCCCTTAGAAAGGGAAACATGATCATTAGTTCCCAGAAAAAAAGAGTTGCCCTCCAGGAAAGAAAGTGTTGACAGAGCAGCAGTAGATGGCGCTTTTTTTCATTAGTAAAAGCATGAGAAATCATAAGATTTGTGACTAAAAAGCTTTCATTTTCCCATTATTTTATAATAAACTTGCCAGGTCTAATTGTTTGAAAAAGTAGTGCCATTTCAATACTACCCCTCTGGTGTTACTTTATTATATTTGTTACATTTGAAATTTATATCAGATAAATTTTAGAATGGGCACCATATCACACACAGAATCAGAGAATGATTACGGTCAGAAGGGACCTAGGGGATATCATAGTATTCATCTAAGGGCTTTTTTGTGCTGATAAATATACTGTAGCTTTACCATCTTAGGTGCTAGTGACAAAGCTTAAAAGCATCCTAGATAGAGAATGTTGCGCCTAAGTTAAAAGAAAATACAACACAGCAAGTGAACATAGCTAACAGCCTGAGAACTGAGTTACAGCATAACGTGTAACCAATAGTTTAAAAAAAAAAATCAAAAGAACAGTTACCAAAGTATATGAAATTAGATAAAGATATTTCCCTTTCATTGCATTTTTATTCACTCTTAAGGCACCCTCATTTTGCTGAAGTTACAGAACACTACGACCTCCAGATTTGTTTTGAAAACCCTATACTTTGAAATCAATCCTATCCATGGAAATACTCTGTATATTTGTTATAAGAAGCTAAACATCATTYGGAACTGCCGAACCTGTAGCAACTTTTCACACAGATAACGCTACATCATTAATGCTCTTATAGATAAGTCAGTTACACTGCACAGAAAGGCTGGGAACAAGACTGTGCGCTTGGGAAATGGGAATTCAAACCCACCTCGTTTGCTAAAGCAAAGGTTCCCCAGTGAATTGCTACCGACTTCTTTGCTTGAACATCAATATGGATTCTCACCGCTTCTTCAGGATCCACATGTTGATATTTCATAAACCACCTACCAAAAAACAAGGTAAGTTTTAGGTGTTATCTAAAGAAAGAAGAAATCCCACACTTAGATTTCACTGCTTAGTGGCAAGGGGTCTAAAAATACGCTCACCTGTGGAATATGCAGGTTTGGGCAACACACAGAACAATCAAAATCACAAGCTAGAAAACATCARCATCCCGATAAGAAACACCTTTTTCAAGACAGGAGTGAAATAAGTGAACTGTCATGCTGTATTTTTAAGAGTAAAAGAACATAGTAAAAGAACGTAATACTTAGTGCCCTGAGGCATTAAGACTGTAGATTTAATTCCATCTCAGAAATAATTTCATGCTAGCAGTGCATACGAAAAAAATGAGTGTTTCAGAACACTGCCTAAGGAAACAGAGGTAAAGCAGAGGTAAAAAAAAAAAAAAAAGAAAAAAAAGAAACTTGGCAATTCTTGAGAAATGCTGCACTCCTATCACAAGGTTGTGATTCCCATTTTACCTTCCCAGCCTATTCCTGTTGAGCTTCCCACTATGAGAGAGCTGCTATCATCCAAAACCCTAAATAGTCCATGATAAGTAGAATATAGAAGCCAAGCAAACAGATCTTTCACACGCTATAAGGGTTTCATCTCTTATCTCCAGATAAATTGCAAAAGCAGCCTGAGGAATGAAGCAAGAGAAAATGCACTGAACTATGGTTGTCTAAATGGCTGCAACTGAGTAATGGTAATGAAAAGTCAAAGTATTCCTTTATTTTTACTCCATTTTTTTCAAGGAAGTCTATTGATTCCTCCCTACTATGTTTAAGAGAAAACACACACACAAAACCACATCACTGCCACACACAGACAGGCAAATACCCATGGTATTTCAGCTCCTTGCCTTTCTCCATTCAGCAATTTTTCATTCCCACTAYAAAATACTAAATTCCACTGTAAACTTCAAGATAGTTTTTCACTTCCATCTGTACTTTTCTGCCATCACTGTACCATTTCATTCATATCTTTTGATCAACTTAAGGTTTTTTTTTTTTCCATACCTTGGCTCATAGGCTCCAATGGGGATGGCTGCAAGATCGAAAGGTCCAAACCTTTTCCCTATCTGTTCAAAAGCAACGCAGTAACCGGTATCTCCCGAGAAGAAAAACCTATTCCAGGGCCCCAGGACAGACCAGCTGCCCCAAAGAACCTTGTTGTCRTCCGTGGCAGTCCGCTTGCACCAGTGCTGCGAGGGCGTGAAGACGAAAGTGACGGCGTCGCGCCCAGGCACGCAGTTCTCTTCCCACCAGTCGAGCTCGATGACGTTCTCGCAGCCGCACCGCTGCATCCAGCCCAGGAGGCCCAGGGGCACGAACCAGCGCAGCTCGCCGCCGAAGCGCGCGTTCAGGCTCAGCACGCTCTGGTAGTCCAAGTGATCGTAGTGCGTGTGGCTGATGACGACGGCGTCCACTCTGGGCAGCTGCTCCACGGTGCACGGCGGGCCGCGGAAGCGCTTGGGGCCCAGCAGCTGCGTGGGGGACGCGCGCTGGCTGAAGATGGGGTCCGTGAGGAAGACGAGCTCGTCCATCTCCACCAGGAGCGACGCGTGTCCCAGCCACGTCACTCGCATCCCCGTCCCCGTCTTCCCGGCCAGCTCTGGCTTCTCAACAAAGTAAGGCTTTAACACTGGAAGCTCTTTATCCAGTTCCTAACACACACACACAAAAACAAAGAGCACAACACTCATGAGAGATCTCAGAATGTRCTGGGCTATGGAACAAAAACCTCATTCAAGGCACAAATCACTCCATTCAAGACTTGTGTTTTGTTTACATTTTTAGGCACCCAGACATTTTTGGTGCCTCTTTCCTCAGCTATTTCCTCTTTTTTTTTTTTTGGGTGACATTTTCACTTCTTTCTCTTGACAGAACAGAGAGCTCCAGGGTATGATTAGGTTAAGGGACCTACTGCCAGAGCAAAGGAGCTGAAAGGCCTGCAATGAAAGCAAGCAAGACATTACCAGCCTGCTGGGAGAGGCTTTGGAACATGCTGATGGGTTTTGACCTGAAAAAGAATATAGAGAGGCTGTTACTGTAATAAATGCTCAAGTTCAGCTTGGGGAGCTAATTCGTGCCTTCCTCAAGTCCCACATCTCATTTTTAAGGTGGTTCTTTATGCACTTGACTGGCTTCTCAACAKGTTTTATCAAAGTCTACTAGGGAATTAAAACTTTGATTATTATAGCATAAATCATTATACTGATGTCCCTGCATGCTCATGATGCAGTTCCCAAATGACATAAACCAACCTAACTCCACTCTCCAGGGRAAGCAAGTTATTGAGACCCTCCCTGTCTGCCCTCTTGTATCAACGTGGACATTTCTGTGGTCACCGCTCAGGTCTGAAAGATCACAGACCTTTCCAGGCTCTTCTGTTAAACTGGACATCAACCTGCCTGTCACCTTGGTCACCCTCCAAATTTGACTCTATGAACAACCCCAAGGCCCACCCAGGGGCCATGATCTGCTCAAACTGATTGTGAAACTTTGCTCACACTAAGCAGAGTGTTACATTCTGGACCACAGTTTGGTTGAAATACATATGCAAAACCTTTYTTTGTTTTGTTTTAATTAAAGAGGTTTTTTTCTTATTTAAAAATTAAAGTCTTCATGGAGGTTCTGACCACCTCCATCTCCGGTGATTGAGCCTCTCCTCCCAAATAGCTCTGGGTTAATCAGGTTACTAAAAGCAATTTAGATATAAAAATTAGCAATTAATTGTCAGAATACAATTTATGCCAGTAAGTACTTTTTAAGTACACTTTTATGCAACAAAATATTTGCAAGTAACTGGAAAACTACGTTACAAAATAATCTGAGAACTCTAAATGTATCCCCTTCTAGTGACATTTGACAAAACAAACTTTTTTTTGTTAAAATGAGCACCATGCAGTATCAATAAGCAACACTAAAYAGATTAGCATCTGCCTAACTGACAGGTGGGAACAGGGAGCTCTTAAGTGCCACTCAAACACAGGCGCTATTCAAGCTTTTACAGGTAGTCACTAAATGTTATTACATTTTTCTAGTGCTTGATCTAAAGGTAAAATTAATCACTACCACAAATATTTGCAAAGGACACACAGGCAGGTAGAATGGTAAATGAAGGGAAGCGAAGCCGGAGCAACTGGCACCCTGCCCCATTCAAAGAAAATTCTCTGCACAAGGGCTCAGAGCAAATCCAAGCACAGGGAGCTCTAGCTCTGAACGCACTGACTCTCTACCAGTTTTTCAGGTTTATGATAGAGGCCTCTGGGTCAAATAAGTGATTCTTCAATGGACTTAGATCAGAAATTGGGTATTTTATTGAGCCAGCAGAATAAATCTCATAGATATACTTGGAAAAAAAATAGAAGTTGTTAATGCATGTACTTTAGTGTTTCAAAACTATGTTAAAAACCAACAAATTCCTGGGCTCAGTAAGAAGGCAAAATACCTCAGTATTATTATACTGGAGGTCAGACTTGTTCACCTTGTTCTCAGAAATTTGGCCAAACCCTAAAGTAGGTATTTATTTTAACCAAACCCTCTCAACTAAGAATGCAATTGCCCCATATCCCCCCCATCCAGTGGATGGGAGAAGTGTCATCCGATCAGTGGCCACCGTTTCATACCAAGCAGTTTTCTGAACAGCACCGGCAGTTGTTGAGACTTTGCTTGCAGTAAACAAGGAGCTGCTTGGGTAGGGCCAGGCCTTATCCCCCCAAAAATCAAGCCACAACTTGCAAGACTCAACGTGTCTCCTCAGGACCAACTTGAAGTTGCAGCAGGAAAAGGAGAGAGTAGTAGAATAAACGGCCACCAACAGTTGAGTCAAAAAGGAGATCCCATTTATTCACTCATTAAGTTTGAGAAACACTGACCTACGTGGATCCCATCCTTAGCATTAGTCATAAGAAAAGGAGYGGTGCAATTTCAGGCTCTATGTTGCACAAAGGTGAAAACTTACTTCTTGGCTCAAAATCTGAACTGAAAGTCTACCTTTTAAAGCATTAAGAACTCATCAGTTGGATCAGAATATCTCAAACTCAGACACAGATTCATAGGAAATTCTTAAAATCTGGACAACAGGATAAAACATCACAATAGACAAAAYATATAATCTTACAGAATCTTTATCCCACCTTGGTTTTCTTTATCAGGCTGACCAGAAGCAAGCACTGATACTGCAAGAGCTACAAGRGCCCTTGAAAATACRACATTATTGTCAAATCAGCTACCCACAGAAGAAAACACATCTTATCTTCATCACAGAAACAATATACAAGTTCTCTGTGCTCTGCTCCTCGCCCCTCTCCACACTCCTTTCTTTCCTAATGCAAAGCAAGCAGAAACACATGACTCGCTTGGGCAAGAACAGCTAAGGAACTTATGATTTCTGGTGCTTGGTACCTACTGGAAGGAAAGCCACTGCATTCTGCAGAAATTAGAACAATCTAAACTGTTCATTCAACACCTAACAATTAAAGACACTTCAATGGAACCCCCAAAAAAAGTAATTAAGGAAGCCTGTAAGGAAAGTACAGAAAGTCTATGCAATCTGGATAATCAGAGACTTGCTGTAAAGACATGATTTCAATGCACATTGCTTTTAAACAGAGAAGTATGCATCCTGAATCATACATATCATATAGCAGGTCATTTACATATGCAAAGTACTTTGTACAGATAAAATGAATGTCTCCAGCAAATGCAGGTATCACTGGGCTCTCTCAAAAGAGGACACTGAAGCAGCAGGCTGCTCTGAAGATGTGCTAGAGCACAGAGCTGAGCCAGCAACGCATGGGGCCCTTGGTTTTAACTTTAATCAAGCTCAAAAGTGCTTTAAAGGCTGACCTTTGCGTGGAGGAGACGAAGCCTGCAGAAGCATTGAAATGACCAAGCACCCAAGAAGTGCCTTTCACTAATCCCTGTCTAGTTTTTTATCTATTTCTGATTTACTTCTCAAAACTACTATGTAATTACAAGGGCTTAATTTGACAATTTCAGAGGCAAAGCAACAAATCAGTCCAAAATGAACCCTAACTGGGTCAGAGAACTTCACAGCTGGTACAACGTAGATTTCTTTGTAATCATCCTCTATTGCAGGGACAGGGATCCTGTAAATTAAAACGCTGCAGTTCTCCACTGCCACGGACTGCTGCAGCCTGTAGCACAGCACAGCCTTTCAGTCCMTAAMMACCTTTCCTGACAAGATACCATTAGTATTTACWATATCTCTTGTACATATACAGAATGTATATGAATGAGTACATGGGCAGTGGCCAAGGCAGCTGCAACACGCCAAGGGCTGCATTCTGTATAAATGTGAACAAAGCAGGTTATGCACATTGGAGAGAAGGAGTTTGCAGAGCTCGAGAGCTTGTGCACAGACACTGCTATTAATACAAGGTACAGATAATGTCTAGAAGCAGATCATCAAGTTTAAAATCCCAGGAAGTTGTGAGAAGGAAACCCAAGGCTGAAACTGGTTTGTTGTGTCTTATTCTAAAGTCAAATTATTGTAGAACTATCATAACTAAGATTAATTCTTACCTAAGTATATTCTTTGCCACAAATACTTAAAGAAATCAGAAGTCTGGCCATCATGTGGCAATAAGTAACTCTGCTTTCTTGTCGGAAGGGATGACTAAACAGCTTTCTTTACTAGTAATTCACACAACTAAAAATGAAAAGCGTACACTCTTTGTTCAATATTATATCTGAGTTTTACTGTGCTTACTTCTTGGATGCTTAAGAGCCTTATTAATGCCTGCTGGTTCAAAACTGATTTCCCTGCTTGTTCAGTCCTCAGCACAGTATTTCTGTAGTTCAGACAAAGCATAAGAAAACACACTGAGAAGTAATCCTAGCTGCCAAAACTGCAGCCTTAACAGTCCTAGCACTGCTTGGGCCACAAAGATAAACAGTGCTTTTCCACCACGCATTCCTGCTCAGAAACAAAGTTGCCCTTGGAGTTTGCTCCCTCCACCTTCCTTTTACATTTTTACCACCACCTTAGCATACAATATCTGAAGTAAAGAACAAGAAATGGTATTTCCCATTAAACTGCCCCTGTATCTTCAACAGAACGAGCACTTGCTCAGGTGGCTTTAGCAAATGCCACCGCTTTGGCTGAAGTACATGTGGAAACAAAGGAATGCAGAGGAGGCCAGGGAAAAAACACCTCCACAAGGAAATGATTAATTATTGAAAGTAATTATTTGGTGCATTTTTTTTTTTTACAAACTGAAGAATATGTAGTAGGTAGTTTTGGAAAAAAAAATGTCCAAAATTCTAAGTGAGGGATGCCAGAGCTATCTGCAGTATAAATGCCGGACACAGTAGGATTCACGGGGCAAGCAAAGCAGCAGCATAAATGAAGTTTATGGCTGAACCAGGAGGCCGTTTTTGTAGTTTTCATAAATATAAACTGAGCTGGATAAATCAAAGGTAGAACTAACAGAAAGAAAAAATATAAAGRGTCAGAAAGGATTAACTAACGCTTTTGAAAGCAGGTAAAATTGAAATTGGTGAAAAACAAACCTGATGAAAGCTGAACAATTACTGGTTAGTAATTTCCTATTTTGTTGTTAAGGGTAAAGAGCCAAAGCAAGTGATATCAGGAACTGAAAACATGCAAGTATTTACCTGCTTTGAGCTCGGCACATTGCTGTTATTTTTTTCTGTGAGGGACCACTTCAAAGCATTTGACAAGGTTGGCGATTTCCATGTTGGCCACGGGTTGACAAATTTTCCATCTTTGCCTCGCTTTGATTTAGTGACATCTTCTTCTAACCTGTAGTCCAGCCTGAAGCTCTTCCTGGAGGTCCTGGAGGAATCGCTGCCCCTGGAACCTCGGCCCGAGCTCTGACGTTTCCTCACCGCCTCCTTGGGGTACTGGTTGCACGCAGGCTGCTCCTCAGCTGGATTCATATCCGTCACTTTCTCAGAAGCACTAAAATACATTTCAAATTAATCAATCCTTTCTCGCATTAAGATCAACATTCATGAGCCTGAATGTTCGCACATACACCAGAAAGAAACTTGCCCTCCTCCTTTTTGGTGATCTAATGTAATTTTTCCTCAACAAATGCGCTTTTAAAACAGTTGCTATTATTCAAAAGACTTCAAAAAAAACATGCCTTGGCAAGTAGACATGAGATCTCTTTGTAGTTCAGGCAAAATTTTTCTCCCTGGTATGCACAGCTTCAGATGCTAACACTATTATCCACCAAGACGAGGGGGAAGGGAGCCTTCATTTCCACTTTGGAAGGATACTAAGTCCCTCCTGAAGCCTCTGACATTCAGYGCCTGACGTAAAATGATCCCACAAACCTGTCCAAGAAATCGTGGAACTACCTGGTCCTTAAGGATTTGCCTATGGAGTGACTTTGTTCTCTAACAAAGGCAGCAGCCTCACGTAGCATTAACAACCTATTGCCTCTACCTACGAGACACACAGACCGCGCACACATGCAGAAAGCCCCAACCACAACAGGCACTTGGTCATCCCTCCYATTGTGCCCAAAACAAAAGCAGAGCTTAATGTAACAACAAGCAAGTTAACTGTTTAAAGGTAAGCTTAATACGCAGTGAACTAACTTCTGCAATGGCACRGACGTCAGGGATGTCTCAAATAAATAAAGGCTGCAGTATCTGCTCTTAATCCCATTTTGAATTGCAGGAAAAAAAATAGAAAAGCTGATTTCGCTAAAATCTCAAAATAGGAACATTTCTTTGAAAACTTGCACTTTAGTAGTTGGAGTCTCCCACTCCAAAGAGCACACACACACACTTTGTAGAGTCTGGCAACGAGTCCTAGAGCTCTCAYTATAGTCAAGGTGGAAAAACAACAAAAAAATCTGTATTTAACAAGTTGCTGAAGCAATTCAGTCAAAGCTAAATGCTTCAGCTTCTCTACTTGCAACATTTCAGCATTTTGCCAGCCTTTAACAACAACAAAAAGGGGAGAGCAGAAGGGCTTGGTATTTTTATAAAGCGCTCAGCTTCCTGGCCCTGAGGAGCCCTTCCTGATTAAAAAGGAGATGCTGACCAGTGCAAGCAGACAGCATGATACATTGTTTAGATACAGGAAGAGCTTCGAATTAGAAAATGTGAAATTAGTGCTGTGGAAAACTCTCCGCCACATGTTTTAGATCATCTGCCTTTTCACTAACTGGCTCACCTGAGTGCTGGATCCATATGGGAAGCATGGGGCCTCCGTACCAAATTGAGTCCACCCAAAGAACATTTCCAGAGAATAGAATTACCCTCTAGAGAGGGTATTTCCATCTAGAGAATGGAATATAGCCCTCTAGCCCTTAGTAGCTTCCTTAGAAAACATTATTTTTAAAACAAAGCATTTTTGAAGTAACTGATTGTGCAGAACTGTGTCCCTCATAAGCTCATAGCTACAGTAAAAAAAAATAAGGTGCAATGCTACGGGTAAGATTTTACCCACAGATAAAGTGCTATCAAACAGAACAAGAAAAGCATTTATTAGTGATGGTTTAGCTTGAAATGCAAAGCCCTTTCCTGTTTCTTTAGCAACAACTGATTGGTGGGCAACAAGATCRTAACGTTAACCGTGAAAACATGACTTGTTCAAAAATAATCGGCACAGTTGATCAAAGTAACAATTACTTTGCCATATGGCAGGGATAAAATATTAACACATCAAAATCAGCTTCTGATAAAGGAGCATCAATCAGCATTCAGCAGATGCTGCTGACGCTGTTTTTTGAGCAGGAAAACTSAGTTACAATATTATTTAAATGTAATTTTACTGTATTATAGTTTTGCTACAGGTTACTTAGGCCAGTCTGTTTATGCACCTTCTCTTTCACTATACTATCCCCCAAATCCATCATAATTTCAATTGTAATTCCTGATACTGCTTTTTCCTCYATTCCATATTTAAAGAAATCAGCCTTCAACAGAATGGCCACCCAACTTGCTTTATGTGCTTTTCAAGCAACATAAGTGGAAGCAAAAAGAATGAGCACCAAAAGACAGATGAAATACCCCCAAAAAAGTGATAAATGTTCTGTTAGTTTAACTCAAAAGTTTTATGAGCATTCAAAGAGTATTTTCAATGCCAAGACAGTGTGCCAAGACACACCTGCTCTGCCAGAAAGCATCATGAAAACAAATCACTAAACTTTAATCAGATATGTGCTTAATTCCAGGAAGTTTTCTGTTAGCATTTCAGATGTCTGATTTTTAAATACATGAAGTACTGTAATTATTGCTCCTACAGGCATTTTATATTAGAGACAAAAGTGCCTAGGGTTTTATTTTTAAGCTTCATTTTATCTATTCGTGCATCTCTAAAAAATAAGTGAATTCTACTTTTGCTTTCAATTTTTATATAAATCTTACTCTGAAAGTATAGAAAAGTATAAAGTATACATGAAAGCATAAAACTCGGGGGGAAGCAGGGATCCACTGCTGATTAAACCAGGGCATTGCMAAGGCATTTAAGGCACTGCGGGTATCTGTCTGCCAACATATTTTCCACATGATGCACATCCATTGCTTTCATCAGTATCCTATAGGCATCTGAAGGGGAGAAAAAAACCCTCAGTACTCAGAACATTTAGACTCCTTCACATAGGAAAGGGACATATTTATAAACAATTAAGTGATGGGGTGAATTCCTGTTGACCTTTATTTTCCTTTCAAGTACCCAGCCTGCTTCTTCATTTTGGTTTCATTTCAGCTGGTAAAATATATCCAAGAGCATTTTGGGAATAYTGGACAAAGAAAAGGCTAATCTTTCTTTTGAAAGAGTGGCAGACAATCAGTTCTAGGAAGCCAGTGTGGTTCAGTTATTAGCTTAAACTGAAACTGAACCAGCTGTTAATCTAAAATATTATTATCCTTCTGCACAGGAAAGCTTTTACATAGAAGGAGATTTGGCAGCTATATTTTGAAGCGCATAAGCCATCCAGGCAGGAARGTGTGGATCATTCATCCAGCCTTCTTGAGTTTTTCCCAAAGAAAAATAATAGCTTGGCACTTGAAAAATAAAGTTAAGCCAAACTGTGAGCGCCGAGACACTCAAGTCAGACTGGACGAGGACTCTGTTCACTTGGASAGGAGGAAGGGAAAGAGGGGTTGCGCTCTGAGCACATATTTGTTATTGCAATAATGTTCCATAGGAAATCTTGGGKTTTTTTTCAGGTTTAACCCAACAGAGGAAGATTACCATTTTATTTGAGAGTGCTACACTGCTTTCTTAACAAGACGGAAAACAGCCTTGGAATAAGGTGGCTCACCCACAAKGTAGATAAACGGGGTTGCCAGCCTCTGTAGGAGGCGCTGGGGCAACTCCATCCACCTCCATGCTCTGAGATGTTTCACTCTTCCTTCAGGGAAAGGAAAGCCTCAAGGAGCCAGGGCTACTGAATGAGACTTTCTGTAGCCTGGCCCAAAGCCCTGGTGCCAGGAAGGGCCGCAGGCAGGAGGGAAGAACAACATTATTTGATGAACGGGACGAAGTTGAACAGGAATCCAGACGCAAAGCTCACGAAACTGGTTTTCCAGCACCAAATGTTAAGGGGCCCCTAGTAACTCACAAAGCAAAACAGAAACTGCAGGTTTGGCACTGGAAACTCATGTCTTCTGGCATGGCAGGTAGGTTTAGACCTGGAAAATAAGGGTAAACTTTGCAACAGTCAGTCATTTGTTTTAGCATTGCTTATGTGACTGAAAACTTGGATTCAAGAAGATAGATTTTGGCTTTAGGTCTTTTGTTTATCTAGGAAAACCATTAAAAGTTCAGTGAAAAAGTATTAAAACATTTAACATCTGTTTCCAAGGAAGCWTGAAAACAGAATATATAAATTAAAAATTACAAATATCGTTTTTTTTTCCTTTCAAAGTGTTGATTTTAAACACTGCAGAGCTTCAAGTGCCAAGCTATTTTAACTTTATGTAGTACAAATGCAACAACACAACTATGGAATTAGTCTTGACATTTTCTCGCAGGGCCCTCTAATATCCACTGCTCCACACCTGGAATGGATAAAATTCTCCCCACTAAGCACACAGCCATGCACTGACACGCCACTACCTGCAAACTCTGACAGAACAAATATGTCCTGCTTTTTCTACACAGAAACATATTGCTCATTTAGCAAATTCCTAAATTAAAAGTTTTAGAAACGATTATACTGAAAACGTGGTCTAATGTAACCCAGCTACTTCCACAGAGCATCCATCTGCCCTTTCAAACCTTCCAGAGATTTCAAAATATTCTTATTCCTTCTCTGCTTTTGAAGCAACAAATTTGTTTTTAGTTGCTAGCTCTGTACACAAACTGCATTGAGGATGGGGCTGCACCTCAACTAAGCACTAACTTAAAAAGAAAGTTAGCTCTAAAAAGATAGAAAAAAATTGCTTTAAAGAAAGACATTTGCAAATATTAGGGGGGTTACAATTTTAAAAGCCTCCTACATACTTAACAAATCATGGCCAACTAGATTTTGGCCGTGCTTTTGTTATTCCTTCAGGTCTCAAATTGCCTTAATTAACAAACAGTTTGAGCCTGGAAAATTCTGACTGTATTTCAACTTTTCTTGTGAAGTACTTCAGGCTGTTCCAACCAGCTAAAACTGCGGATTTTCCAGACACACTTAGTATTTCACAAAAAGAAGGTTTCTCAAGCTTGGAGCTAATCTATAGATACTTTTATTCTGATTAAAAGTAGCATTCTAGGTAAAGCATTGCAGATAGTTTTATCCCCTGGCTAGGAACTGTGTGTCATGCACTGGTCTAAGGAGATTATTTTCAAAACATCCACAATCCTGCATCCTAGGAGGCTGTCCTCCAGTCTTGGATGCAGCCATTTAACAGTACATCTATTGCTTGCCAGCTTCTTGTTCTCCATTCTTGCAGACCTGTAAGCAGCCAGACTTTGCACTAATTTTGGGTGCTAACACAATTAGAGATGAGTAACTGAGCTGGTATCAGAAAGTAAAGTAGCTCTCCCTTCAGATGACCTTGTAAACATGGCAAAGGATTCATCTTAATTGCATCTAGTTTTGAGAACCAACAACAAAATAAAGCCAAGTTTTATTTGGATATAACACAGATTGGGATTTCAGTTACAAATAAGGAAACCAAGGATTATCTAACACCATAAGACCACAGCTGGACGCTTCACAGCAGCACTGTTACTTAAGCACTCCCCACCATCCTCACTCATCTGCTTGCCCAAACTAACATTTACATTAGATCACAAATTTGATCCAATTGATCTAGATGGTCACCTCTTACCATCCCTTCTCCTGGAAAAGGAGGTTTGCTTTTCCCTTGGCTTGCTGTGCAGACATGCAACTCTTTATATCAACAATCTGGACAGAAACAGGGAAGGACGAGAACAGGAATTAAATGTTTTGTTTATATACAATATAAACATATGTACTATGTTTATATACAATATAAACAAAAGCTTTTTATGCCAACACAGTGTGAATTACAACATTCACCCCCCCATCTACAATTCTTTCAGTGCAGCTCACTTATATTTGCCACAAAGTCAGGTTCAAAGGCCTGACTTGGCCCTAAAACATCTACACATATTATCCCTATCCAAAGTTGCACATTCACAGAATCCCAGAATGGTTGAGGTTGGAAGGGACCCCTAGAGCTCATCCAGTCCAACCCTCTGCTCCAGCAGGGACACCCAGAGCACGGGGCACAGGGCGGCATCCAGGCGCCTGTGGAAGATCTCCAGAGAAGGAGACTCCACAGCCTCCCTGGGCAGCCTGGGCCAGGGCTCGGGCACCCTCACACCAAACAAGTTCTTCCTCACATGCGGATGGAACTGCCTGGGTTTCCACTTGCACTCACTGCCCCTTGTCCTGTCACTAGCCACCATCAAGAAGAGTTTGGCCCCTTCCTCCCTACATTCTCCCCTCAGGTACTTAGACATGTTGATCAGATCCCCTCTCAACCTTCTCTTCTCGAGGCTAAACAGGCCCAGCTCGCTTAGTCTTTCCTCATATGAGAGATGCTCCAGTCCCTTAATCATCTTTGTTGCCCTCGGCTGGACCCTCTCTACAAGCTCCACATCCCTCTTGTCCTGGACAGTCCAGAAGTTYGGCGATGCTGCTGCTTGAACTCCCTAGCACCTTTATCTTTATGCCCAAAGTGAGGTTTCATATTGTAACTGAGTTTGATAACCAGCTACCCAAAAGGCAGCCCGCTCTCATTACCACACATCCCAACCCTACTTTCCTGACGTTCATTACAGGAGCTAAGCAAACACAAAGTTATTCATAATATTTAGTAGCACTTATCAGCTTCACTGGAATCCATTTTTGGAAACAAATGCAAATAGTCTTTAGAGTCACATCCATCAGTTGKTCCTGAAGTCAACTGTTAACCTGTGAGCTGCAGGTGAAGTGCGAGCTGCAGCAAGGGGCCTCCTCCTGGAAGCAGGACATAGGGATTTTGCTCTCACCGCCAGGCACCCCTGMCAGTTACCTCTCTCTGCCCAGTACAGCACTGCTATACTTTCCAGACYTACTTGGGACTCACATTACACAAGTTACCTGGTACATACGTAGTTTGTATAGCTTAAGATCCCAGTTATGCTACTAGATGTCTACAGGGACCATTAGCACAGATAACAGAGCCAGTAGCCACTTTATCTATTCATGTCTACTAAACCAAGTTAACTCCTTCTCTCCCCTTTTACTGCAGCCTTGAGTCAAGATATCCTCAAACATATGCACATTAKATGTAAAAGAATGGCCTAGATGATGGTTATGAAGGAGTTCAGCTGGCCGCATTCCTGTGCAGTCGCAGAAGGAGAACACGAGCCAGGCTTCCCCACTCCAAAACAGAGAGCATTTTACTGCCCTCGCCCCCAAGAACCAATGTGGTATCGCCACCAAGGTACAGGAAAGATGCTGGAATGAAGCAGTTCCTGCAGCTGCACTGCTGCTCAGGCTGGCAGCACAAGGAGGCAGGGATTGTGCATTGCAGCTGGCTTATGACATGCAAGACAGTAAACAGATGAAGAATCAAAAAAATGCAAGCAATATATAAAATGGACCCAATAACAGACGAGAGCGCCTGCACACAGCTGAGCACGGGTAACCCTTGGTCTGAAACAGCAGCAGTAATCTCCCTGGACAGCCCTTCACCCTTGTAAAGGGTTCCTACAAAAGTCTCCTAGAAGAGCAAACATGAACCTCGTCCAACGCCACAACAGGATCCAGAACCAGCTCCTACAGTAGCAACTCTTCTCCTACAAGTGTTTATGCAGATGAGCAGTTTATTAATTTCAGCTGGCCYATTGATGTGTATGCAGCTAATCACAGGTACAAACCTTTCCAACACAGGCCTTGCTGTTAGAACAAGCCAACAAAAGAGTTTTGCATTTATAAACATACTTAGCCACCTCCCTGCATTAACAAACTGTGTGTTTTATTTTTAGTATTTCAAGTTACTATGTGATTTTGTCCTTTTTAGCATGGGTCTTCTTAAACAAAAGMAAGTTTTAAAACACTACAAGCTTAYATTCTGTGTCGAGAGTATTAAAGGTTTCCAATCTTACATATCTTAAATATAACTTATAAATAACACTAMACAGGAATCAAACCTCGACTTGACCATACTGTGGTAGAAATTACATTTGCAGTATGCATTCACAGAGGAAAGATAAGAACTGTTTTAATAAAAGGACACAGAAATCATGTTAAAAACTTGATGCACAAGCTCCAAAATGCACAGCAGGATGCAAAGCAGAGCGTTCCTGTTTAACCCCGGCCATTTTTACGCCTGCAACGCTACAGTTGCTATCTGCAGCTCATACTACTAACCCTTGTAATTTTCTGCTTCCTTCTCTCTCCGTGCCAGAAAAGAACAAACTCCTATGCAAACTTTCTCTAGAACCACACAGAGAATAATCTTTTAAAACCCTATAAAACCTCAGCTATGCAGGAAGCTCAACAACTCCCAGGCGCTAAACTAGCTTTTAAGTTATTACACATAACCATGCAGCTTTTGCTTATATATACATTTAAATGCCAATCTAGCTCATTCCCTCGCAGTTCAAAGTCCAAGCGCATAGGGCCCAACRTCATTTCCCTGCAGTTTCAAAGTATTTCCCTAAATTCTTTATCTACTTCACATTTAAATTTCAATATATGCTCCACTTTTGCTTGTCCGAACAGTGCACTTTCTCTCTAGATATGTGCACRTACTCTTTGATATTTATAGAATTTATAGAAGCATTTATAACATTTAACCTCAATTATACTGAAATCCAAGTAATTATTTCCCAAATAAATTTTCTTTAAGAAAAGGAAAAAAAAATTCCTTAAGTTATACTTTGGTGAATGTAACTGTTCAAAGAAGTCAATCTAGAAGCAGCTCAGGTTTAACATCCTCAAACCTTCATACTGTAAGGCCAGGAGGCACAGGAGATACAGCAGTCTTTAAGCCCTAACAAGAACACAGCAGCTGAAAGAAATCACAAGAACACCAGACTAAGCCAAATGCAAACACCAAAGGGAACTGAAAGCATCACAACACATTTACATTTTTCCCGAGAACCCTTTTTACTGAAAACAACCAGCCTCTGTCCCCACAATTTTAAATTACGTCTCATCACATATTCTAAATGAAATACAAAGCGCTGTGATCACTAGTCAACAAGAGAAACAATTTTGAAGTTGATTTTTTTCTTCCTTACGGAGGAGCCAAGGCACTTTTCCAACGCTGTGTGAGCCATCTACTAATTTTCAAGGCACTGTTCCAGATATGTAGGTGTTTTCAGAAGACGGTGTTTCATCTAAACAAACCCTAAATAAATAAATAAATAAATAAAGCACAAACAACTTGCTGTTGCCTCAACCTTTTTTCACCAGAAGCAGCTGAACGTCACTGAATCTTTCTCAAAAAACAGTACACAGCATGCACAATTTCAGCCTAAGCTACCTAAATTCTTTCCGAACATTATAAGCAACAAAAAATGAAACCTTATAAGAAACCTTGCCCACAGAGAGTACGACCAGCTCCAACTGTGAAATCAGATCTTACGTAACAAAAACTGCTCGATACAACCTGCATTCTGCTGCTCCTTGCCGCTTGGCTTTTCCTCATGCACCACTTATCAAACCTTATTTTCCACAGGAGGGACAGAGCGGCAGCAAAGTCTCTCTCCAGCATCACTTGTTCCTGCCTGCGCCCCCGCGGAGCAGCTTTGCCAGGTTGATCTGTTTGGCTTTAGCTATTCAAACCCAAATCATCCCTTCTTTATGCAGYTGTCACATAACAAACGTATCACACGCAAGCAATAAATAATGTTGGCACTCCTTGCCCAGGTTTTCTAAGAAAATCCAAACCAAGTACAACATATGGTTCCAAGAAAAATTCTTTTTACTCGAAGGCTCTGGATGCACTTGGGACATGGTGGCCAAGTGATTTTCTGTGGTCCTGCTCTGAGCACATCAAAAGTACGACCCCAAATACAATGCTATCCAGCCTAAAAGATAGAAACTTACAGCAAGTGCCTGCAAAGAACTAAAGCAAGAGCAGGGACGGACTTAGAAACGTGACCAAAACCCAAARCTAACTAATAAAGCCACAGCAGGTGCTACACAGAGAAGCACTTATTATTAAGGCGGAATTAGCATTTTCCTAATCCCAGACCAAACAATTGCTTGCTCATTTGCAGCAGGGTAAAGAAATGTGAAGTTAATTTCTGATTTGAGAAAGAGCAGCTTTTTTCGGTCTTGGACTTACACAGGCTGCAGGAATTCTTTTCAGAAGGATTTCTGCTGAGGCAACTCCTCAAATCTGGTTAGTTTATACAAACAAAGACAGTAATAATATGGATTGCTTCCTTTCAAAAGGCTGCGGACATCTTTTGATTTAGGCCAAGCATAAGCTCAATTAGCTGTTATTTATGTTCGAGCAGCTTTACTTTCATCCCTCACTCTCCTCCTCTCCCAAACGCTCTCTCCCACTTGTCCTTGCTATCACAGCAAATAAACTAGACTCGGCTTTCCAGTCTTTTCATGCTCAAAGTTATCATTATCTGTTTTATGTATCGCAATTTCAGATTATCTCATAGATTTCTGAGGCAACTGCTGCAATAATTCTTGCAGCACTAAGATAAAATCTTATTTCATCTGTGAATAACTTATTATTATAGTTACAAGACTATTTTATTTACTTCTATTTACCGAATTTATCAGTATTTACTGTAGATCTCTTTAGGAAAGAGACTAGTTTCAAGAATCTTTTGCCAGAAAACTGAGGAGTGATCAATACTAAACCCTTTTCCCATCACTGCCTTTAACTCTTCATGTCACTTTAGTCAGCACAGTCTGAAAAATGAAATACATGTGCACAAGTGGCACCTCCCTGCCAACACTGAATTAGTCACTACAGCAAGGCAAACTGAGAGCTTGCTTCCCAAGTGCCATTTAGCAAATAAAGAGCAAGGAATACTCCTCACAAGAGGAAAATGGAAAGGAACCCCTAGTTTCAGGGGGAAGAGCCACCCCACAGGCCTTGGCTCGGCTCACGGCGGGCGCCGGGGTTGTCTCACTGAGGTGGTGACATCTCCGACACCTTCGCTGGGCGCTCGCCTCGCCGGCGGCATCCTCGGCGTCGCTCCTTCAAGGGGGGAAATACCGCTCTCACAAGCAACCAAATCACTACGTATGTTAAAAATAAAGGAGATTATATAATACGCTTCCTTCCACGGAAATTGCAGCATATTTGACTGTTTAAGGAAAGCATCCCCACGGAGTGGAAGAAGAGCCTGAAAGAGAAAGTCACACTTTTTTTCCTTCTTTTTCCCTATCTAACCACCGCGGAAAGTGCCACCAAACCCCAACTTTTCCAGGCTGGCGGCGGCCGCTGCCGGGACCCGCCGCGGGCTCCGCGCGGGCTGCGGGGCGCCCGGCCGGCAGGTGCCTCCGCGTCCCGCCGCGCAGCGCCCCGCTCACCCTGCGAGCTGCTGCTGCTGCTGCGGCGCCTCGTCCTCCTCCTCCTCCATGGTGCCGCCGCGCACGGGGCGGCCCTTCGGCGGCGCCTTCGCCCCACCTGATCTGCAGACGGCGGCGGAGAGCGCGGGCAGCCCCAGGCAGCAGCTCCACAGCGCCCTGCTCCGCACCATGGCGCGGCGCGGGCTCCGCGCTGCCCCCGCCCGGCCGCTGCCCGCGCGCCGGGCACAAGATGGCGGCGGGAGGCCGCGCGCCCCGAGGCGGCCCCGGAGYGGCCGGGCGGGTGGGGCTGAGGGGGCCGGCGCGCGGAAGTGAAGTTATCGGGGAAATAAATGTTATTTTTAATTCTTTACTTGCACGCCTAAACATGCAGTCCCAAAGAGTAAGTGCAGGGCTGTGGTGCAAGCTCCGAGGTTCCCTGGAGGCTGCRTGCATACGCGTTGCACCTCAAAGTTCAGCAGCCGACGGCCACCTCAGCGGGGCAGAAGTCTGAAGTTTGCAGGCTGGGTGACAGAGGTCCTGTGAGACAGGAGACACGAGCTCGGCCTCAAGCCGTCACCCTGTGGCTCTCTTCACTGTGTGAGGAAAGGGATGGGGATGGTGCCAGGGACGGTGATGGCCCCAGGGACGGTGATGGCCCCAGGGACGGTGATGGCCCCAGCTCGCTGTGCAGGGAAACGTGCCTGTCTGTGGACGAGCAGATCTGCTGACCCGCATCAGGAGGAAATCCCAGTTCTTTCCCTACTTCTGACTCTTCTCTTGACATTTCCTGACCACTTGCTCTGCTGTTAGTGTGTCAAAAACTAGGCTAGCTGCCCGGTACCTTTGACTTACACCCACACTTTATTAAACACAAATCTGTACTGATTGAAGCCTATTCCCGCTGTGATTTTGCACTTGTCTGTTTGTCCTGCAGCCCCTGCGAGCAGGCGGCCTGCATGTAGAAGCAGCTTGTAGGCCACAAACACCCCAGCTTGGAGTCTCTTCCTTAGCTAATATGTTTTGTCCATGCTGCCAATACAGATGTAAATAGTTGGAGGCCATGGTAAAGACAGCTGGTATCTATGTACTATGTAGTTTGCAATTTGCTGAGAATTCACAGCATCTTTAAGGTTGGAAAGAACCTCTAGAGATGATCTAGTACAACACTCTGGTACATGCAGGGTCAGCTAGAGCATGTGGCACAGGATTGTGTCCAAGTGGGTTTTGAAGATCTCAAGGGAAGAAGATTCCACAGTCTCTCTGGGCAGCCTGTTCTAGTGCTGTCACCCTCAAAATGTTTCCTTAARTTCCTGTGGAACTTTTGGTGCCTCAGCTTGTGGCCATTTCCTCTAGTCCTATCGCTGGCCACCACTGAAAAGAGGCCGCCCCCCTCCTCCTCACTGCCTCCCTTGAGGTATTTATACACGCTGATCAGGTCCCCCCTCAGCCTCCTCTTCTCCAGGCTGAACAGGCCCAGCTCTCTCAGCCTTTGCTCATAGGGCAGATGTTCCAGGCCCCTGATCATCCTGGTAGCCCTGCGCTGGACTCTTTCCAGCAGCTTCACATCCCTCTTGTTCTGGGAAGCCCAGAACTGGACACAGTCTCCAGATGTGGCCTTACCAGKGCTATGTATAGAGGGACGATCACCTCCCTCAGCCTACTGGAGACGCTCTTCTTAATGCACCCCAGGATCCCATTGGCCTTCTTGGCCACCTGCTGCCCCATGGTCAATTTGTCATCCACCATGACACCCAGGTCCCTCTCTGCGGGGCTGCTCTCAAACAGGTCAACTCCTAATCTGTACTGGTGCCGGGAGTTAGTCCTCCCCTCCCTCTTGTTGAACTTCATGAGGTTTCTCACCACACAGTTGTCCAGTCTGTGCAGTTCCTTCTGGATAGATGTGCAGCCCTCTCGGGTATCATCTACTCCTCCCAGTTTGGTATCCTCAGCAAACTTGCTGAGGGAGCACTCCCTTCATCCAGGTTGTTGATGAATAAATTGAACAGGATGGGACCGAGGACTGACCCCTGGGGGACACCGCTAACCACAGGCCTCCAACTGAACTGGAGAAAATCACTTTTTTTTTTTTTTTTTTTTTTTTTTTTTTTTTTTTTTTTTTTTTTGTGGTATCACAATCAAGGATTACTTGGCTGTTGAAATGCTTCATTTTTGGCATTGCTAGAAGTCTGTACCTTGCACCTATCACCTACCCTGCAATGTCAGCCTGCATAACAAGAAAAAAATCCTAATWCACATGTATCTTTTGGCAGAATGAGAATTTTAAGCCAGTTTCTTGTTTCAATATTCATACGAGCCAACAAAGATTTCATTCCAGTCCTGCTGCTCTGGCAGGTTTTAATCTCTGTATATCTTGTGTACACAAATTCATTTAAGCCCAGGATAAGCCCCCCTGGGCCATGTGTGCTCTAACATTGTGTAAACCCAGAGCAGATCCGCCTCACTCTTTACCATGGGCAAGCTAATGTGCTTAGAGAACTGATGTTCAGATGCTGCAGGAGCTGGAGGCAGAAGTAAGGAACAGATGGGAAGGTATCAACCATCTGCACACAAAGTAAGAGTTTTGTCTGACACATAGCCCTAAGAAAGGGAGTTTTAGTAACATTATTTTCTCCAGTGGCATGCATTCCCTGTATTTTTATGGCTATATTAGCCCTATATGTTGTCTACTATATATGGAAATGAAGATTATTTGGGAGCTTCTTTGCATGACAGAGAAGCCCAGCTACTGAAGAGTAGCAAATGGGTTGCTCATGGATCAGTGCATTTTGTTTTCTTATATTTAATAGCTGAAACAGTAACCTTCTTTGTTATTTGAAGGGTTTGGGGGGGGGTATATAATTTTATTAAATATTTGAAAGGATATGCTCCTTAGTGTAATATACTTAATGCAGCACCCTATATCTTAATTATAATCACCCGGTTCCTACTTTATGAATTGTATTCACGGTGGTTTACCTCCCTTGGAGATAACGTATGTATTAATCATGGGCAAGACAGCTCGGCTAGCTCAATTAGGAAACTTCTTCTGATGAA